TTTTATCAAAAAATACAAAACTTTTACTCTATAAAACATTAATTAGGCCAATACTTACCTATGGCTCTGAGACCTGGAACCTAACTCAAGCTGGTGAAAATAAAATTGCCATTTTTGAGAGAAAAGTTTTGAAGTCCATGCTTGGTGGGATAAAAGTAAATAATTCCTGGAGAAGACGATATAATACTGAACTGTATAAAATCTACAGAGAGCCAGATATTGTGAAATTCATTAAAATAAATCGAATGAACTGGGCAGCTCACATTTTCAGAAGGAATGATGACTCAAATATAAAGAAAATCCTATTACACAAACCCCTAACGAACAGGAAAAGAGGTAGACCCAGGCTGAGATGGCTGGATTTAGTTGAGACTGATTTCCTTACTCTAAAGGAGAAAAACTGGCGAACAAGTGTCAAAAGTAGAGAGAAGTGGATTCAAATTCAAAGGAAGGCACTGGCCCACCCTGGGCTGTCTAGCCAGATATGATGATGATATAAAATGACAAAAGATTTAAAAAATATAATCCAAAATCAAGGTTATTCAACACTTAAGGTTGTGCTCACACGTTTTATGATGTCACATGCTTAATAGGTATTTCATTGCTGTATTTTCTATTGATTGGAACTCCTTTAAAGCTGTTATAAATTATTTAAATTCAATATCATATTATGGTTCTTTTGTTATGATAAGTATGAATAGTATCTGAGTAGACCTTTTAGTTAAAAAAACAATTAGTATAATTTAAATTACACATTCATGAAAATCACGTTCATGAAATTCATATTCATAAATCAGTGCAATTAAAAAATTTGAAACGAAATCTTGTAAGAAACATTAAATTACTTTGCTTAAACTTTTACTTAGTATAAATTTTAGTATAATTATTAAACATTAAGTGTTAAAATAATATTATAATTTAACAGGTTGCATAGCATTTTTTAAAATTACTTAAAGGTGCGTATTTTAAAAGCCCTTATAAGTGCTTTTTACGTTGGATGTTTTTAAAAAGTCCTTAATGTTCCTTTTTCCCAATTAATATATTTTTTTAACATGTTGGTTTTTGCCACTAATTATGCAAAAAACTTTGTTCTCACACTATTCTATTCATTATTTTCGCAATTTATTCAACCACAATAATAATATTATTAGTCTTGAATAAGAAATTTTTCTTCCTATTATTGAAAGTTCAATGTATGTATATACGTAATATATATATATATACATATGAACTTTTAATAATAGGATCACGATTCAGAGATATCCCCTTATGTATATACATTTAAAAAAAAGAGTTTATGGATATTGAGTGCTTAAGAGGTGTTTAATTTTTGTTCCAAAATTTGGCTAATGCACCCTTTTAAATATAATTTTATACATTTACTAGAACCAAACTCATTCTTTACGGTAGACAGAAAATGTATGAATAGATTGTTCATTTTTAATTCTGAAAACTTACTTTAAAATGAAATTTCTTTTCAGTACTCAAATTAAGCATTGATTTCATTATGCGAATTAAGCATTTGTACATTTAAGCAAATAGAAACTTGTTTATTCGAAATAGTATTAAAAAACATAATTATAAGAAGATTAAAAGATTTTTATGCTACTTTTAGTTCAAATTGTGAGGCACGAGAAAAATATTACAATAATTAAATCATTGTTTAGTTGATGAAATTGATATTAAGAAAGTAGTTACAAAGAATTTAACAGTGAAAATCGAAACCACCTTATATTAAATAATTATCAAATAAAAATAATAATACCTACTTGATTAAGAGCGACTCTAAGGGATTTCATTCATCACTCGCTGTGGCACATTCATATGGAATTAGAATAAAAGTATAAATTATTTTTTTTTAATTATGACTAAAATTTTATTGTCTTTATTTCAGTTTCGTAAAAAAACTGTATCGAGGAATTTATGCTATGATCTTATGTAGTTTTCTTTTCTTTTGAATATTTTCTTTGCAAGTCAGTCTTAGAAATTTCATTGTGGGCAAACATGTCATGCTCTAGGATCAAACACCTTCCCTTTTACGTGTCTCTTTCTTAAGTTTTGATTCCTGTTGCTAAACACAATGATAACTAGTGCCTATTCGTTGAGTTTTTTTTTTTTTTTGAGCAGTATTTGCACGTTGCAACGGCGTATATATGGGATGGCTTTATTATATATTTAACTCGATCATAAGCGAAACTTTTATTATTTTAAGTTTTAACAAAAAATCATCGAAAGCTACAAAAATGAATGCCATTCTAAAATTTAAATCAGGCATGTGATTCTTCTGCTAATTCGCTGAATTCCACGACTCTCAAAACTATTATTTCGCGGATTTCCGCAAATTAATAATTTTTATTCCGACAAAATTTTCTTGCACTTCCGGTATTCTAAAATTTAAATTTCGTTACTTAAGCAAAATTTTGTTGACGAGTAAACCCTTTTGTTTTTCTTCCTGAGTTCTCTTTCACGCTCAATAACGACTTTTTATGCAGATATGTAAGAGAAAAACGCAACTTTGGACAAACTTCGAGAACTAAGGGGGGGGAGGGTTCCATACTAACTTCACTTGGAATTAATGAACTACTGACGAAGTGCGTTGCCTTTTCAAAAAGTACTTAAAGGTGCTTATTTTCGTTTTTTAAAAGCCCTTAAAGTAGGATTGCACAACCTGCGGCCCGTGGACAAAATGCGGCCCTTGGACTACTGAAGTACGGCCCGCGAAAGCTTCTAAACACAATAAGAAATTTTTTTAAAAATGGCAATTTTTAATCGCACTTTTAAGTCATCACGTTTCGACACAATCAATTTTAACAGATTCTTTAGTAAATGTAAGTTTAACGCGCTTTCTTTAAGCCGATTTTATCGTAAATATAAATGATTTTTTTTTAAACAGTTATTTCAGCTTTTCTACCTGATTTCGAAAATCTCGAATTTTTATTACGACGCGAGTTTTAGATCGCCCATTTAAATAATCACTTTTTGGTGCACTTTATTTGTGACGATTTCATCTTAAATCTAAGTGATTTTTTATCTTCTTNGTATGTATCAATAAAACCGATGATATTTCTTTTCTCGCGCTGGCAACAGTTTTCATTTTTAATTGATTGGATTCGGCGCGCAAGAGCACGTAGTGAGCAACCAGATAACAATAACCAGAGTGAGCATTATCAGGTTGTTCAATTCAGATTCATGCTCTAAAAACATGATAATATTTAATTTAAACTTAATTAGGAATTAATTAATTGAAGTGAGAATGCCGCTGTTGAATTGATATTTTTCTACTGGGAGCTACCTAAACGTCTAAGTGTTTGTATTGAATGCTTTAAATTTTTTTATATTTCGCGTTTATTTATGCATTGAATTTGCACGCTTTAAAATGCAGAATATTAGTGAAGCTGCTAGGGCTTTTAAACGTAATGAAAGAAAACGTGATCGAAAAGCCCAAGAAAGTGTTGAGGAATGTTATGAAAGACGTAGATTGCAGAGATCAAGTGCAATAATAACTGTTCAAGATGTAACAGTAGATGTCGAAGAGTATAATATTGGCTCAATGTAGTTATTGTAATGCTTACTTCTGGGCCAAAGAAAGAAATTCTTCTGGCAAATATACGAAATGCTGCCACGATGGAAAAATTAATTTGCCTACACTAATGGGCATTCCCGAGTTGGTGCAAAAATTATTAAGTGATAATTCGATTGAGGCACGAAATTATCGAAA